CCCCCCCCCACCACCACTTTGCCTCCTGAGCTCTGGGACTGACGTGGCGGAAGCAGTCACAACTCAGTGGTGTAGCATACTCCACCACCATGTGACCTTAGTATTTATGCTTTTCTTGTTATCTTATATTTTCTCCAAGTTCTCTACCTTGAACAAGTGACTCCATGGAGTCCTCCCTGGTGGCGCAATGGGTTAGGACACAGCACTGCAAGCTGGCCACAGCCAGTGCGAGTTTGATCCCAGCCCCAGAGGTGACCTACATGGCATGGTAGGCCTCTCCTGACCTGCGCAGACCTCTCCGGACACACCCACTGCTCCCCTCAGCAGTGTACTTGGTCGATCTGCCTGTTCTACTCCCCACTCTGTCTCTGAGTCCTCTCCCCACCCCTGCACCTCTGGCCTGGACCCCAGTTCTGTATGAATAAATAAATCTTAAAAAAAAGAAAGAAAGAAAAAGTGATTCCAGGTTCAGAGAATAATCTGAATTTTAAAACTTGTTTTCAAATGAGAGAAAATCAATTCAGGTCCACCTGGTAGCTTATCATCCACCCAGTCGTGGAAAATATCAAGAGAGTTTCTCTGTTAAAATTTTGCCTTTCTAAGAAAACCATGCTCTGGACTCCAACTATTGATTGAAAAATAGATGTTGAGGAGAGTCCCACTGTCAAAACAGGCTGAGGATTGTGCACAAGGGGCCCTGCTCTCACCCCTCCTCCCCCCCCCCGCCCCAGCCCAGGTCTGAGCCAGGCCTACACACACCTCCACTGCTATGGCTGGATCTAGAAGGCGAGATAAAAACCGCACAGGACACTGAAGTGGTGGCTCACCAGCAGAAATCTTGGGAGTCAGTGACAGCAAGCTGCAATCCCTGGGAGCTCACACATATCTCTGAACCAAAATCCTTGCCAAAGCGCATCAGCCAGAGATGCCTGTGCACAGCAAGGGAAGATTCTCAGAGCCCTGAGAATCTTCATTAACCCACTCCAGCACCAATGCTGTGTTTTCATCAACAAACTAGCAGCAACCAGGCCCCAATATCCAGAATAGCCATTTCAGGGATGGTTATTCTGTGGATTCAAGCCATCTCATCACAGGGTCAACTCTTCCCAGTGTCCTTCAAAATTGCCACAGCTTACTGCCTTGGGTGCCTCCAGTTCCCTTCTGGAGTCTAGCAGAGGCCCTCCATGCTAGGTCTGGTCTCATTGCTGGTGTGGATTGATGTCCTCAGACTCCAGCTGGATACCACCCTTAACTTCCTTAAGTATCCTGAGGACCCAGGACTTCAACCTGGCTCTAGGAACCCCAGGTAGGCACCTCACAGCAGTTATCTTTGTATTCATCCAACTGTTGGCAATGAGCTAGCTAACTCTCGCTCTCATTCTGGATCTCTCCAGGCAAAAGTGGCCCAGCTCTGGTTCCTGGTACCCCGGTGATCCCTGGACCACAGTTCTCTTTCATCACCATCATCATCATCATCATCATCATCATCATCAATCAGAGTAGGCTGGATTCCACCTTAAGGCTCATTGTGCCCACCACTGCCTCAGAGAGAGATGAGAAGGGGATGGTTTTTTCAGTCACCCCTATTTCTACAAGGGTCTTTTGATAGAGCAAGAATTAGAGACCCATTCATGGTAGTTTGAGTAGAGGATTTGTCAGGCTCCATGTAGAAAAGCAGGGGGAGCAGCACAGGAAACACATTAAGATTTGGATTCTAAAATCTGGAGCTCTATGTGGTTCTGAATTTAAGGTGACTCTGGTTTCTGAGAAGCACTGATCCAGGGACTTCCATCAAATTCAGCGGTAGCCAGTGCAAATACCTGCATTTGCCTGGCAGGTAAGATAAAGGAGAGGCTGGCCTGCTGGTAGCTCAGAGAACCTCAGAGAACCTGTGGTCTATGTAAACAGGCAGTTGCATTCCATCTCTAGCTGATTGCAGCTCCTCAGACCCTGTGTGGCAGTTTCTGGCTTTTTTTTTTTTTAAGATTTATTTATTTATTTGTACAGAACTGGGGTACAGGCCAGAGATGCGGAGGGTGAGAGGATTCAGAACAGGCAGATCGACGAAGTACACTGCTGAGGGGAGCAGCGGGCGGGTCAGGAGAGGTCTGCCACGCCATGTGGTCACCTCCGAGGCAGGCGGGAATCGAACTCATGTGGAAGTGACTTTAGCTTCTCAGTGCTGTGCTTTAATCCGCTGCGCCACCAGGGAGGGCCAGTTTCTGGCTTTTAAGGAGAAGCAAGAAAGCTAGAATTATGCAAAACCTGATTCACAAAAATGCAAAACATAATATGGATTGAATAAGAAAAGCCCTGTTCCACAACTGCCAGTTACACATCTTTTCAAATGATTCACCATTGACCTGACTTGTTTATCAATTGGTGAATTCCTTTTTAAGTTCCTATTCAAGCGCTTAAGAACAGAAAATTATTTGGCCTGACTCAGCTTTTTCACTTAGATCAGTCAAGACCATGACTGGCTTCCTTTAGTTCAGGAGCTTATTCCGGCCTCTCCCCAACAGCTGTGGTCTGTAGTCAAGAGGGAAAGTGAGGTCAAAAGGTGATCTCTCTTTCTCTCTCTCTCTCTTTTTTTTTTTTTTTTATTTGTGCATATAGAACTGGGGTACAGGCCAGAGACTCAGGGGCGGCGAAAGACTTCACCAGAGACAGAGTGGGGAGCAGAACAGACAGATTGACGAAGTACACTGCTGAGGGGAGCAGTGGGCAGGTTAGGAGAGGTCTGCTGTGCCATGTGGGTCAGCTCCCTGGCTGGAGATTGAACTCATGCAGCAGTGCTATAGCTTCACAGAATTGCGCTTTAACCCCTTGAGCCACCAGGGAGGGCACAAAAGGTGATCTCTTAATCATCAGAGCCCACACACAGAGGAACTCTCCCTTATGCAGGCTACACACAGTTGAGTGGACACAGGGAATATGTCCAGTACACGTGTGTTTTCTCAATCACCAACCAATCCCTGTCAGTCAAGCTTCTCCAGAAAAACAGGATTTCCATCTGTCTTTCTATTCATGGAAAGAGACAAAGACGGAGAGAGACAAGATTTATTTTAAGGAATTGGTTTACACAATCATGGAGCCTGGTTGTAAGTCAGCAGGCTGGAGATTCAGGCAGCACTTGATGCTGTAATATTGAGACAGAGTTTTTCTTCTCTGGGAAAGCTCAGTCTTTAAGTTAAGCTGAGGCCCACACATATTACTAAAGGCAAACTTCTTGACTTAATTGATTTTAGAAGTTAGCTACATTTAGGAATCACCTTCATACCAACGCCTATTAGCATTTACAGAGAGGTGTGGGGACTAATCCAGACTAGTTGACACAAAAATACCATCACACTGCCCATGAAACAGATACAGCTTTTCCCTTTTCATAGGTGTAAAGACCCAGCTATGGAGGAGAGAGAGTAACCTGCTGGCGGCTGGAACCAGAGGTTTGTCACAGCCATGTTCCTCACATTGTCTGTGGATTCCAAAATCTACATCTTAATGCTGAATCCTCTTGCCTTTCAGTGAGGAAGAAGTCTGCACCAGTCTGAGGAGGCTTGCAGAAGTGTTCCTTCCCAGGAAGTGCTCTGAGGAATCATTCCTCTGAGGTAGCATCTGTTCCTTCTTTCTTTCTTTTCCTTTACCCCAGGATTTCTTGCATTTCTCCTAATCTCCGTACCATGTTTATACAGTGGCTTCCACACCTGCCTGCAAAACTGATTTAAGTGGCTTTATTCCCCATTAGTTAAAAAAAAAAAAGCTTGAAAAACTTTCTCCCAGTTAGAGAGGCAAAGAGGAAGAATGAAAGGCTGAGATCCACATCCTAGCTTCTCAAGCTGCTTTTCAAAATTTAGAGGCAAAGAAAACCGCAGAGATGGTCACAAATTATTTTAAAGATAGTTCCACCAAGAGAAAAACCACAGCTTCCCAGAGAAGTCTTGCTTACTTAACCAGCTTTTTGGACCATCTTCTCCAGAAAAAGGGTGGTCCTGGAGATGGGGTCCACAGTTTAGCACCTACTGTGCTAATGACAAGGTGATACTGTGGTGTTTTCATACGTGTGTGCTTGTGCTCTGTGTTGAACAGGGCCTGACTCAGCTGCAGGCATGCGCCTTCTCTCTCCAGCATTTCTCACATCCCCAGGTCCTGTCTGGGTCCTCAGCGGTCATGCTAAGAAAAATCTTCGGTGCTTTTGGGAGATGGAGGATGGTACATGCTTGGTATAACAATTCTTAGAGTGTAGGAGTTAGAACTCTTTCACCCAACTCCATCACTACAGATGAACAAACTAGGCCCAGAGAGTTGCCTTACCTGCATGCTGTGCCTGGAAGCTGCACCTTGGGAAGGACTTTCTTACCTGTAAAACTCTACCTGGTGCTGCTTTGGGCTGACAAAGCACACCGAGCACACAGTCTCCAGGGGCAGGCGGCAAGCTCCATAAAAAGGACATCTGTGTGTTTACTCCATCTCCTGTTAGCTTTGGCATGACTTTACCTGTCCTTGACCCTTTGCAAAGCCCTTGACAAGTGTCTCCACATGGATTAGGGAAAGGCAAGGGCAAACACAGAGGAGCAGGAAATGTGGAAAGTTCCAGGGAGTGTACAGGAGGTGAGCTGGAGAAGACGAGGGAGACACGCAGGGGAAACACCAACCCAACAGCACTTTTGACAGATTTTCCTTATTTGTCTGTGGAGGGAATTTCAGATCATTCAAAATGGACTCAAGTGGTCGCCAAGGCAACAGTGTTAGTCATCACTGCCATGGAAACCCTTTCTGTGGCATAATATAAATATTTTCCTTTAAGAATGAGAAGGGGAGTTGAGTGGGTGACAAGTTATTTTGTAAAGCTCACAGGCTGTGGCCAGAGTCTGCAATGTGAGGAAGGAGGGAACTAAATTAGCTCGGATTCTATACCGTTCACAGAACAGGCTGTTTTTATTTGCTTGTTTTTAGATTTTAAAGCTAAAATAAAATTGGGGCCGGGGGAAAATATCAACAAAAATAGTCCATAGTTCTGAAATGGAGAAAGGTAAGAATGTCCCGTTTTCTCCTGTTGCTCTCAGGAATGGTCTGTAAGACTGGACCCTTGGAAGAAGTAGCAAAGGCATTTTAGGGTTTCCAAAGTCCCCCCTGTCTCTTCCAATGGGGGATGAAGATTTAAGAGAGTACAAGAGTCCAGAGACTTCTGGGGAGGAGTACTTCAGGTAGTGACGTACCCAGGAAAAGGGACATCTTGGGGGCTCATTTACTATTTCACTCTTTGTGGCTAGAACTACACACACAAACACACACACACAACGCTGCTTGCAAGTGCTAGCTTGGGTGTGTCTCCACATTCACCAGATGCTGTGGCTACGCTGGCACTGCACTTAGCTTCTTCAGAAGAAACACATGCAACCTAGGTGAGGAGACAGGACCAGATATCTTCTGAGTTGTCTTCCAATGCTAGATGCTAGGATTCCCTGGTTCCTGCTCTCAGCTTTTACGATTCTGAGTCAATAGCTCTATTTTAAAGTCACACTGAGCCTATTGTTCTAATTGAATGGCAAAATGAGTCCCCAGGGCTGTGCTGTGGGCCGCAGGAGGAACTGATCACTCTGCCGCCCTCTGGGCCCTGTAGAGACCCTCCCAGGGCCTACAACCATGCTGTCAAGGCCGCCTGGCTCTTCTTCAGGTGGTTTCTATTGTGGGAGATTTGCTGGCGTAAGTTATTGGTCGGGGAGCTTTGGCTCACAGAAGGCACAGCCAGACTGTCCCGATGACAGGACTGAAAGCAGCCGCACTCTCACGCTTGAAAGCTTGCCCACTGGCCTGCACTTTTTTTCCTAGGGTGATGGGAGGAGAATAATTGTGGCTCTCTAATCAGGGAGCATTCTAGAGCTGCCTGGTCCAGCAGCCTGACCTTGCAGCTCTGTTCCAGAGAAGGCAGGGGCTTGGGGGAGGGCTTTGCTTTGAAATTTAGCTGGAACAAAAGGAAGATATTGGCTTGGAGACTAAAGCTTAAGAATTGTAATTCCAGTTTCTCTCCACCTCCCAGGCGCTGAAGGAAAGGCGCACACTCAGTCACCTGGTACTGGATAGGGACTTTGATGCCTCTCAGTCCTGGTTTTCTGTTCTTGAGTGACGGAAACAGAGAAATGGATGAAACAGACAATAACCAAATCTATGCAATGATCCCTATTTAGAAGGGCATGTATACTTCTTTAACAATTCTCAAAATAATGGAGGAGCTTCCTCATAGTAAGAAAGGGGAGCATTAGAATATATAAAAGAAATACTACTTCCTTCATCACAGTAAATAAAGAGCAAAATAAAGGAACATGTATGCTCCAGGACAAAACCTGTTACAATTTTGTGTTAAGGTAATATCAGGTAGGCACATGGATAATGATTACTTGACAAGTTTCTTTCTCTTCACCATGATAAAAGTATTTGTTGTTTTGGTTTTATATGATTAACAGGCTCTTTGGAATATTTTCAACAACATGTGGAAATGTAAGAGAGAAATTTTAAAAACCACTTAAAATCCCATCACCCTGAGATGTTCCCATAGCCATTTGTTGACAATATTTTGCATATATATATATATAATGTGCATACACTCAG